ATCATTCAATCTTATCACTATCATCACCATCATCATCGTCATCAACATCATCATCATAATCTTCATCATTTTAATTGTCAATTTTGTAAACATTAGCCCCACCATCATCTTAATCACAACAACAACATCAACATCAACATCATCATCAACAACAACAACAACATTATCATCGCCACAATCATCATCATCACAAACAATCCTCATCATCATCAACAACAACATTATCATCGCCACGATCATCATCACAAACAATCCACAATCATCATCATCATCATCAACAACAACAACAACAACAGTGTTTTTCTTCGGAAGATTTAGAGGTCCCTTCTACCAACTGCATACAAACTAGCAAACCAGCAAACGTAAAATAATTTATAAGGCGTGAATGATTTAAAAAAACATCATTCTTTTATTTCGTTCATTTGTTTGTTCTTTTATTCATTCATTTTGGTATTCTTTTATTTGTTTATTGAAACGATCATTCATCGGTTCGTTTGTCTGTTTGTTCATTCGTTTGGCTAGTGCACCAGCTCGTTTCCGTTCTTTTGATTCGTTTGTTTGTTAGTTTATTCGTAAATTAATTCATTCGTTCGTTCATTTGTTCGTTCGTTCATTTGTTCGTTCGTTCGTTCATTCATTCATTTATTCATTCATTCGAATTTTTAAAAATTTTTCCTCATCAGTTCCATATATCACAGTGCAATTGCAAGTCCCTTCCAATCATTCTCCTACGGTTACTCTTCTACTCAATTAAGTCATTTATCATGGTTTCATTTTTTTTTAAATTTCTTCTCTCTGTCAATCTCTCATTTATTTACCTCTCTCTTTCTGTCTTTCTTTCTCTCTCTCTCTCTTTCTCTCTCTCTTTCTCTATCAATCTTTTTTAAAACCCCTGTCATTCTTATTCTCAATCTCGTGTTCAGTTTAAACTTTCTTTCTTAAAAAACAAACAAATATATACACACACTCAAACACATTTACAAACACGTACAAACACACACACACATTTACAAACACGTACAAACACACACACGCTTACAAACAAACACACACAAACAAACAAACACACATAAACAACACAACGCAAAACAAATGAAACAAAGAATCTTTAATGGCCATGGTTCACGTGAGAGTCCTTAGAAGACGATTACAAATACGCAACCCTTGTCAAAAGAATTCGCAATAATTATAGTTATAATAAAATAAAAATAACAATAATATTAATAATTATTATTATTATTATTAAATTATTATGAATGTGAAACAATTATAGAAAGAGTTGTTTATTCTCTTTGTGACTATTTCTGAAGAAACAAACTGTCTTACTGTTAATTGGACCTCTAATTAGCTCGATCATCATCATCATCATTAACCGCAACATCATCATCTTTGTCATCATCTTTGTCATCATCATCGTCGTCGTCGTCATCATCTTTTTCTTCATCAACCGCAATATCATTATCACCAACAACAACAGCAACAACAACAACAGCATCCACATCATCATCATCATCAGCAGCAGCAGCATCGTAAACCACAAAACGTGCAATTTCATATGTTTACCAGTTGTCAACTCATTGTTTGCACAGCATAAATCACTGCATATTGCACGCTAATGAATGCTCACACACACACACACACATATACAACACACACACACACAACACACTCACGCACACACAACACACACGCATGTACAAAAACACATCCACATGCATTAATACGTGAACAATGCTAGTAATGAGTTTAATCGCATTGAAACATTTTAGTGGGATACTTTAATGCATCTTGTATGACCCACATCAATAAATATGTGAATGTTTAACTGGCGACCATATTTTTTACAGTATTGTATGAATTCTACAGAACTGTTGGCTCTAGTCAATTTAAAGTTTGTCTTTTCAATTTTCCTTATGTGTATATATGTATTGTATACGTGCGTGCGTGCGTGTGTGTGTGTGTGTCTGTGTGTATGAATAATTATGCACGTGTGTATTTGTGTGTTAAAGCCACATTCAAAAAAGTTAGTTTAAAAGAAGAGAAAATGCAAAATAATAGAACACACACACGCACATACACACACACGCACGCACACACACATGCCTATACACACACACATGCCTATACACACACACACAAACACACATAGAGACAACACCGTTTAATTAATAATCAGTTATAGATATATTTTGCAAATGAAAGAAAGTGTTAAGACACTTTTTTTAATTAACTCACAACGGATTAGTATTTTCTTTGTAAAAATACCTACTGCTAAATATGTTACTTAGTTCTACTGAAGCTTATTAATTTTGCAGTTGAAAAGTCCCATTCTCAAATTATGGTTCAAGTTTTAACGTTCGTTAAACTACCGCTGCTGCTAAAACAATTACTGCTACTACAATTACTGTTGCTACTACTACTACTACTACTACTACTACTACTACTACTACTACTACTACTACTATTACTACTACTACTAATACTACTACTACAAAAACTACAACTGCTACTACTTACTAGAGAATTGTGTATTAGAAGTTAGAAGTTAAGTAATTTTTTTGAACTGCATAACAACAACAATTGATGATTGCAGCAACAATAATATCAACCACAACAACAAGAACAACACCAACAACAACAACCACAATCACAACAACAACAACATCAACAACCACAACAACTACAACAACCACAACAACAACAAACATCTCAACAACAAAAACAACAAAAACAACAAAACAACAACTACAACAACAACAATAACAACAACAAACATATCAACAACAAAAACAACAAAACAAAACAGCAGAACACAACAACACATGCTATGGACCATCAATCGTGCAGAACACTCAGGATATTTACCATGGCGCCACACGCAGACACACACACACACACACACACACACACACACACACACACACATACACATACACATACACACACACACACACGCACACACATAAATCTACACAAACACACACACATTCACATACACACACAATCATTATTCTTTGAATACCAAAAAAGCAAAAATAAAATGTTCTTTTTTATCGTGAATAACAACAAACGAAGGCAAAACACAAACGGAAAAGGTTAAACAACAAACGAAGATATAACAACAAAGATATAACAACAACTACAAACAAAGATATAAAACAACTTCAAACAAAGATATAACAAAAACTGCAAACAAAGATATAAAAACAACTTCAAACAAAGATATAACAACAACTACAAACAAATATATACCAACAACAACAACAAACAAAGATATATCAGCTACTACAAACAATGATAAAACAACAACTACAAACAAAGATAAAACAATTTAGATGTGAAGAAAACAAGATGAAGGGATTTCCTTTAAATTGGATTTATTTTTTCTAGGTGGGTTTTTATTTTTATTATATTAATACAGATATTTATGAAAATTAGTGCCGTAGTAATTGTATTATAATTAAATAGTTAATGTACTGTACTTACAAAATTAAAAGTTTTTCAAGCTATTTGAAAATGTATTCCATTGTTTTTGTGGGTTATTTTCTGTTAGGTCAATTACTTTTAAGTGCAAACTTTATTCATTCCTTCAATCGGTTACTCGTTCACTCATTCATTCATTCGTTCGTTCGTTTGTTCGTTCATTCGGTCATTCATTCGTTCGTTCGTTCGTTCGTTCGTTCGTTCGTTCATTCATTCGTTCGTTCGTTCGTTCATTCATTCATTCGTTCATTCATTCATCAACCACTAACATCTTTTAATAGCTGTAAACTTTTCAGAAACCCAGCAGAGTTGTGGCGTGTCGTATTCACGTCTAGAAAAAAAAATTAATTATTTGATTTCAATCACGATTCTAAAATATATTTTTACATACGCATACATATGCATACACATTCTTTCTCTCTCTCTCTCTTTTGTCTCATTTTCTCTTTAAATATCTTTGAAGTCGGCGTGGTGGTCTAGTGGTTAAGGTTGCCTGGTGCTGTTTCACAGAAACCGGGTTCGAATGTGACAAAAAGATCCCATCCTATCACACGCTTCGTTCGTGATGTGGCGTGTCGTTGAATCTTCTGAACTTTGAAAGAATGTAATTGACCTTTTAACTTTTCTACCTTTAATTGTCTAGCACCTCATTAATTAATTTATCCATTCATTTATTCATTTGTTGGTTCGTTCGTTCGCTCATTAATTTTTAATTGATTAATTCATTCATTCCTTCAATCATTCATTCATTCATATTTCATCGATCCATTCATTTTATATGATGTCCAAATTTAACAAATTGCGATATCGAAAAAGAAACATACTTTCGGCTTTCCCGGACTTGCTGATAGCTCTTTCTTCCGCTCTGCTAGACATCATCGTCGTCATCTTCCTCTTCATCACTTTGCCATCACCATCAACCTCATCAACAACATCACCATCATCCAGATTATCATCACTTATAAATACATCATCGTTGTTGTTGTTGTTGTCTAAGATTATCATTCTAGATTGAGGTTTATATGGCAGAATGTTGTTGCTGATGCTTTTGTTGTTAACGTGATTTAAATGGTATTGCTGGTATTGTTGTTGCTGTTGTTGTTGCTGAAAATATTTCTGTTGGTAAACTTGCTGTTGTTGTTGTTGATACTGATAATGATTGTTGAAAAGCAGTTGTTGTTGTTGTTGTTGCAGCAGCTGCAGCTGCTGCTGATGTTGCTGTTGTTGTTTGTTTTTGGACGGAAGTCGTCTTGGTGACAGCAGCGATCTGCGGTGACATTAAGAATAATCACGTGACTACATTAATTATGACGTCACAACAATAATAATAATAGCACAATGACAACACACGATTTAAACAAATTCATTTACACGCGACACGGAAGTCGAACGGAATATAATTGAAATGTTTCACAGACATGTACAGTACACGGATCCTAATGTTTTCAGACAAAAAAAAAATGAATTTTTTTTTGTTTCGTTAAAATTTTGCTTCCATTTCCATTTCCAAAAATGAATTTTTTTAACTTATATTCAGCAAATATTTCTTGAAAATCGAAAAACAATAATGGTCTACATTCCGTTCAAATATGTTTTCTTTTGTTAAAAAAAAATGCAAATATAGATGAGGATTCTATAAATATTGATATAGGAAACATTCATTTTTTTCATTTTTAGTAGTAGTAACAGTAGTAGTAGCAGTAGCAGCAGCAGTAGTGGTAGTAGTTACAGCAAAAATTGTAGTAGTTGTAGTAGTAGAAGAAGTTGTAGTAGTTGTAGTAGTAATAGCAGTTGTATTAGTTGTAGTAATAGTAGTCGTAGTAGTAGTAGTAGCAACAGAAGCAGTAGTAGTAGCAGTAATAATTGTAATAATAATTATGTTTTTTTTTCGTTTTTACAAAAAAAGAAAAGCAAAGTTTATTAATAGATCGGCAAGGCTGAAAGGAGTAGCCAGCCGGCTTTGATCTTCGTACGCACGGTTTAATAATGTTGCTAATAAAATTATTTTATTATTAACATATTATTATTATTATAAATACTTAATTAATATTATTTTTATATATTATTTCTACATTATTATAATATTATTATTTCATGTCTTTTCATAATATTTTAATGTTTTCACCTGTAAGATTCACTACATGCCAATTCCCAACCCGCTTAATACAACAGAACTTATAGATACTAAATACTATTTTTTACTAGCAGTAAAAGTATCAGTATTTCATTTCAATTCGTAATAAAGTAAAAATAAAAATATAGACAACAATAATGTTTATTGAAAAAAAATCATTCCACACGGTTGTAAATGTTTAGCTCCGTAACTATAACTAACCTATAGCCCGCGTCCAGCTGATTATAAGCATCGACGAAATTATTATTAATGTTATAACTAATACTGTTATTAGTGTTATAATTGTGGTTGTGGTTGTTGTTGGCCCAGTACTCTTGACAGCAGCTATCCGACTTGCATGGAGCTGAAACTTTACCGACGATACCGACCTGGCCGACATGTTGACTGTTATAGCATTCCTTCAACTTACCTTCATAATAATTGTTGTTATTGCCATCTTTGTGTTTAATTTTGAGCGTCGAGGCTGGTGGCGGCGATGAGGACGATCTGGTGGCACCTGTCTTGTGGTAAGCGTCAAAACAAGTGCAAACGCACTCCGGGCATGAGTTCTTAGTGCATCTGTACTTGCTTTGTTTGTGCAGATTTGAAAAGGCCGATTTCTTTGATGAGGCTGTTTTAGAGTAGTTGTGACCGGAGCAAGAATGATGGCCATACTGAGAGCTGCTCTGTTTCTTGCACAATGGACAATCTTCATCGAAACTTTTCGTATTTCTATTTCGACCAAACAAAAAGTCAACTAATCTCAATTTTTCTTTTGACGGACTGGATTTTTTAGGGCCGTACGAGCAGTGGTAGACGACAGATGATGTGCGATAGTCGTAGTCATCAAAATAAACACTCCGACCAAGCTCACCTCCACATACCGATTTCGCCATATTCATATCGGACTTTCTGTTACCGGCGTTTGTCCCGAAACTGCTTAACAGTCTGTTAGAGAATGAGTTACTGCTTCGTTTTGGTTTCTCCTCATTACCTCCAGGCCTTTTCAGTGGAATGCCAAGCGATTTTGCTTCCTTCATCAAGTCGTCCCAATTCATGTGCGTTTGTTCGTCTTCGACTGCTATGTTGTTGATGGAATGCCCGCTCCATTCTTGAAAATATCCGTTCGTCGGATATTTTTTGTGGTTCTTGACCGAAAGATGATTTTCTTTTCCATAATCACAAATGTTTGAGACGAACCTTCCGTGGAAGTAGTGAGGATCGTTTTTATTTTTGCTTGGAAGACATTCAGCGTCGAATGAGGCGTGGACCTGAGCTTTAGTGACGATGCGGTTCTGCTTGGGACTGAAGTTACTCAAAGTCTGATACTTTTTGCTGTTGTACGTTTCGTCAAGCGATTTGAATTGTCTCTGGCTCGCATTCTGGTGCTGAGTTTGATTTGACGAAGTTCTAGTTGGCAGTTGACGTTCCAACGTTTGATAAGTCAACTGCGTTGTTTCTTTTTGTGCTACTTCTGCATTCTGTGTTTTGTCTGTCAATTTGACGTCAAATGGTTGCACATTTTTCAAACTTGAAATATTTTTTGTGCCTTCTGAAGCCTGATGAATTTTTTCATTCAATTTGTACTTGTCGAAATTTGGTTCATTTATTACATTCATACTTTTCGTCAGGGTACAATCGTTTTTATCATTGTTAACACTCGCTAGATTCATGCTGGAATTTAATGCATTTGAATTTATGACATTTCCAAGCTGACCAGTTTTGGCCAAGACCTCCGTGATAGTTTCAGCAACAATTCTTTGAGACGTTTCATCTAATTGAACCTCTTCAGTCCGATTTTTATCGTCAGATTCGTCACTTTCAGATAGATTGATGTTTCGCCGAACATTTTTTAACGTCTCCTTATCTAAAACAACGGTGAACGTTAGCTCCAAAACATTTTGAGAATCATTTTCTTTCGTTGAGGTGGAATTTTTTGCAACGATTTCATTTTCATCCTCACCAGCGATTTCCTTCTCGGGACTTTTTGCAGGAGCCTTTTGCAACCTTTTCGGCTGGCTCTTATCTCTTTTCACGAAAGAACTCTCTAGTTTGACGTCTGGTTTGTTGCCGACGTCATTTCCGTCATCTGATTTTTTCGGTCTTCTGGTAAGTCTGGGTGGGGATACTTTGACGTAATTGACATCGTACGAAAGCGCTGTGTAGTCTAAATCTTTTTCAGTTTTGTTTGCAGTTTCATTTTTGCAGTAGTTCCTGCTAGAAGATGGATCTGATTCCATAAGAGAACGTTCATTCTCATTTGAGGCTTGCATATTCTCATCATTAATTTGTTCATCGTTAATTTTCTCATTATTAACACCAGGAATACTTTTTTCACTTTCTTTATTATTGCGAACAGGTGAGCTCTTACTTGCAGACATTTTCTTGTAGACGTTTAATGTGCTTCTTCTTCGAGAGGTCATGAGATTTCGCTCTGTTTTCGACGTAGTCGTCATGGTAGCGACAGTCGAAGCGTTTTTCGAATCGATAAATTCCTTTGTGTCGGAAATGCCATTGTCTTTCAAATTTATGAATTTGTCGTTGCTGCAGTTGTTGTTCATTTGCACTACTGCCGCCACGTTTCGCGTAGTTTGTTGGTCTTTTATGGCGTTCTCTTTTATAATGTCATGATTGATGCTTCCACTAGTGTCGTTGGAATGTTGTTGTTGGGGTTGTTGTTGTTGCTGTTGTTGTTGCTGCTGTTTCATTTTTAGATGGTCTCTGGACTGAGTTGGTGAACCGCACGAACATCTATCTAGACTGGCCGTCGTTGACATTGGTTCGCTGCAGTTTTTAAAATTTGTCGAGTTTTTTGGTATTTTGATTAGAACCTTTTTGGGAGTTTTTTCAGAAGAGATTGAAAATATACTGACAGGTGTTTTTATCTAGGGAAGTTTGTTGAAATTGGTAGTGAAAACTTTTTAAGCCGTCAGTTTTTCATCCTCTGCCGGTGATGAAAATTTCTGTAAATTAAAAAATTGTTGCTAATTTAAATGGCGCTTAGTAATTATTTTTTTTTATATAAATTTCAGTAAAAAAATTATGAAATGCCCATGAATGCGGTAAAATGTATGTCAGTATATGCCGTGAATATGCTTTATTTTGTCATCACAGATTTAATTATGGCAAGAAACCTTACTGAAAATGTTTCACATAGACGTGCAACCAGTAATTTAAGATTAACACAGTTAAATTTGCATGGTTAACTTTGTCATTATGATACTTTTCTGAAACAAAAGAAAAAATTTTCAACGTTTGATAAACTTTAATTACCGTTCATATTAAACAAACTGACATTTTTCAACATGGTAAATGGGTAAGACGAAAATTTAAAAAAAATTGCCAATCCGAATCAATGCTCTCAAAATACTGAGAAATGGCATCTCGAAAATGAATTTTATTTTTTGCGAAAATTGTAAAAAAGTACTAAATAATAATTTTGCCATTTACGACACAGTAAAACGAAGTAACGCACATTCCTGAATCATCCCTATTTTCCGTAACTCGGCTACCCACAGATTTTATACACATCCCTCCCAACTGGAATGACTGAAGGTTCTGACGGAAGAAGTTTTACGGCTGTCAAAAGCATGAAAAGTGAACTTAAATTCAAGAAACAATTACTGATATTGAACAGTTTTATGCCATGTGTTGTTGTTTCAACCGATCAATCATTGTCAGCAGCTAAAATGTTCGCGTGTGTGTGTGGTGTGTGCGTGTGTGTGTGTGTGTGTGCTGGTACGATAGAAACAAATGTGAGAACGAAAACGTGCCAGTAGAAAGTCTGTATGTGGATGTCTAAATGCATGTGTGTGTTTGTTTGCACGGATGTGTTGATCTGTCTGTATATAAACACTTAATTTTTCACCCATAATATTGATTTATGTGATTTTGAGTTCTGAAATTTACCTATCACACACACACACTCATAGAGGAGGAGGTCTATTATTTTTTAATTTCTTATACATTTCAACTTCTTTTGTATATGAAAACTAAATTTAAATTTCGATTTTACTGCCATTTTATTTAACTCACTTATTTTAGTTAATCTCAATTGATCTTATTTGACGAAACAAAACGAAACGTGACGAAACAAAACGAAACGTGACGAAACAAAACGAAACGAAACGAAACGAAACGTAGAAAAACGGCACAAATCTTATTAAAATCCTGTCAGACGTTCAAATGACCAAGGCAGGCAAATGAACAAAATAATGATGACAGGCGGTTAAAGTTCGAGATACACAAATGCTTAAACCGATTTAAATTAGGAAAATTATCCTGAAGAAAGCAATAAAATGTGTGATTCGAAACTAAATGCTGTTGTATGTGGATATGTGTCTATGTTTGTGTGTGTGTGTTTGTATGTATGTGTACACGTGTGTTTGTATGTATGTGTAGACGAATGTATATACGTGTGTCTTTGTTTACATACATGAGTATATGTAAGAATGAATTATGAACAAACAATAAACACGTGTGTGTGTGTGTGAGTGTGTGTGTATGAATGTGTATGTGTGTGTATATTGGTGTGTATGTGTGTGTATATTGGTGTGTATGTGTGTGTGTATGAATGTGTATGTGTGTGTATATTGGTGTGTATGTGTGTGTATATTGGTGTGTATGTGTGTATAAATGTTTGTATATTGGTGTTTGCTGAGTGCTTACATGGGAGTCTAAATCGACAGTTGTTCCGTATTAGCAGTGCAAGTAAAGTAGAGAAAATATTTTCCAGGAGCAATTGTTTCAATGAGTTGTTTGTTCGTTTGTTTGTATGCATGTATATGTATATGTTTGTATATCTGTTGGATTGTTTGTATGTGCGTGTATGTTATGTTTATATGCACTTGAAGATAACGCTACCGATATAAGTGTGAATATATATACAGTATGGATGTATATATTTTTGTCTGTTTGTTTGTTTTTGTGTATATTTATGTGTGTGTGTGTGTATGTGTGTGCGTAAATGTGTGTACGTGTGTAAATGTGTGTGTGTGTGTTCTCGAATGCATTACAGTACTAATTGCTTTTCTCCACGCTAAATTAGAAAAGTTTTTCTGATCTTGAAAATTTTTTCAGCCTTCATGCAAGCTTTCCATAATTGTGTAGCTTTTCATATTTGTGTAGCTTTCCATAATTGTGTAGCTTTTCATATTTGTGTAGCTTTCCATAACTGTGTAGCTTTTCATATTTGTGTAGCTTTCCATAACTGTGTAGCTTTCCATATTTTTTGTAGCTTTCCATACTTGCAAAGCTTTCCATAGTTGCGTGGCTTTCCATAATTGTTTTTTAGCTTTCCATATTTGTATGCATTTCCGTTGTTTAGTTTAGTTTTTCAAATTTTTTACCTTCCAAGTGCACCTTCAAGAAATTTTCTCTTTCTTGATCGGTAGCTTGTTTGTTGTTTGGCACGCTAAATAATAATTGTTATAATGATGATGATGATGATAACGATGATGATGATGATGTCGACGATGGAGTTACCTTATTATAGACAAAAAGCTGTATTTTTATTTCAGGAAATAACAAGATTGGCTGTATAACTTCAGACAACTGTATGAGAAAGAATGAATGGATGAATGAGGGAATGGATGAATGAATGAATAAATGAATGAATGAATGAATGAATAAATAAATGGATGAATGGATGGATGAATGAATGGATGGATGGATGGATGGATGAATGAATGAATAAATGAATGAATGAATGAATAAATAAATAAATGGATGGATGAATGGATGGATGGATAAATGAATGGATGGATGGATGAATGAATGAATAAATGAATGAATAAATAAATGGATGGATGGATGAATGGATGAATGAATGGAT